CTTAATACAGAACTTATCCTGATGAAAGTTCTGTATTAAGAACTGAAACGTCGATTGTGTGTGGCAGTTGCTGAATAAAAGCTAAGTTTTTTTCACCATTTACTTTTTGAAGTCCTTAGAGTGCTGTTACCTACCATTTTTATTTTTATGTTATTTGCTTTATTAGCACCAGGCATTAATCTATCTCTACAGGAGTGCAAGTATTTGAATATTTTATATATATATATATATATATATCTCCTCCTCCCTTTTTAAAGTGTATTTAGATATTAAAATAAATTTAAATACTTTTGTACTGAGTGTTTTAGAGCAGTAATGATGACTATATCCGGGAAAGTGCCATTTTTGTGTGAAAAATGCAAAAAGCCAATATAAACACTTTGGTTACTTAAAAAGGTTGGACTTATACCCCATTTTAAATACAATTGGTTGTCTAGTTTTGCAAATGGTATGCAATGATGGGGAATAATTTTCATTCCTGGGCTGCCATATGGGCTCAAAGGTACCCATAATCCCAGGAAACCTATTTGGCAAATTTCAATGTGTAAAAACCTAAATGAGCAAGCCCCATATTTAATCCTGTAACTTTCCAAAACCCCATAAAACCTCTCCCTGAAGCACTTAATGATCACTTTTTTTTGTCAACTGTGTCATTTCCTATGTTCCAGGATCCAATCAAATACTTGTCTTAGAGAATCATTTGCTGATTCTGTCCAGAGAGAAAGTTGGGGTGGAGAGCTGGATAATGGTAGTTATGAAGATTAGATTGGAGACAGAGGTTCAGTGGCTAAAGTGAATTGAGGAGGAAGGGAAAAACTTGTAAAGTGGGAAATGCGTGTTAAGCGTGCACACAATCCTTAAGGCTTTATCTTGCAGGTGTGCTCTGCACTGTGCACAAGCTAATGATGTCTGCTGCCAGCGAGCTGACGACAGAAATAATTTAACAGATTTCTGTGCTGCCTATGTCATGTGTGCTTTGTGGTGCAATTACACTCCTACACAAAATTACATAGTTGCCTGTATGTGAAGCATTTCAAGCTGAATCGCTGCACATATGATTTGCTATCTAATAGCTGATAGATTAAAAAAAAAAAAAAAAAAGTTATAGCTGTTGAGTAACTTTGTAAAAGAATGTTAAGGGAAGGCAAATAACTTTCATTAACGGAACACTCAAACTTAAAAAATATATTTATTTTTAAGTTTTTTGTTTTTTTTTGCTTGCCATTATTAAATTCCTCCTTCAACTAACATAAAATTAAAACAAAATCTTAAATTCAATCCAGTGCCAAGACAATCCCCTTGCAGCAGCTGCCCCTCCCCTGAGGAGCTATACCTACATGCCTGGCATCATCTAATGCCACATGCATAGTTGTCCATTGACAAAATATTTAGCTTAATGTAGTAGTGTTCAAATTAAAATTTGCTTGTAACTTTTGCTTCTTTCAAGTGAGATTCCAGGTATTATAACAAGTGAATTGAAATGTTATTATGGTACCAGAAGGTCCCTGGCATCTGCTTACCTTTTAGGGATTAAACTGTTAACAAACGGTTTAACCCCAAAGTATTGAATCCAATGCCATTTAGGTCTGGCCCTTCTACATTTCTCCAATTCTTAAACAGGAAGACTTGGGCAGGGGTGCTGCTGATTGTTTGAGAGCATCAGTTGACACATTCAGCCAATCGGCAGCACCACCTTTGTCTGAGGCTTCTGGTTTGCTAGATTCAAGACTTTTAAGTTAAACTTTTTGTTAATGGTTTAATCCTGAAATTTAAATTGACACAAGGCACCTACTGCCACCATAACTTCATTCTGACTAAGTTGCTATGGTGCCTGTAGTGTTCCTTAAATGGAAACAAATTAAAAACTTGTTGCTGCCCACTAATTGATCCAACACATTTCTGCTGCCACTCAAAAAGTAATTTTGAAATATTGGAAATCCACTCCAACTGTTCCTGAATATTGAAAATAAAGTTTGGTCCTTTTTTTACAATGCAACAAATTTCTGCTACTTCTAATCACACTTAAAGGACCACTCTAGGCACCCAGACCACTTCAGCTTAATGAAGTGGTCTGGGTGCCAGGTCCTTCTAGGGTTAACCCATTCTTTTATAAACATAGCAGTTTCAGAGAAACTGCTATGTTTATGAATGGGTTAAGCCTTTCTAATCTCTAGTGGCTGTCTCATTGACAGCTACTATGCGCTTCTGTGATTTTCACAGTGAGAGCACGCCAGCGTCCATAGGAAAGCATTGTAAATGCTTTCTATATCGGCTGAATGCGCGCGCAGCTCTTGCCGCGCGTGCGCATTCAGCCCAGGAGGAGGATCGGAGGCGGAGAGGAGGAGGAGAGCTCTCCGCCCAGCGCTGGAAAAAGGTAAGTTTTTACCCCTTTCCCCCTTCCAGAGCCGGGCGGGAGGGGGTCCCTGAGGGTGGGGGCACCCTCAGGGCACTATAGTGCCAGGAAAACGAGTATGTTTTCCTGGCACTATAGTGGTCCTTTAACCAAACTTTCATGCTTTGTAGTCTCCCTGATTAGATTCACAAACAACACTCTTTTTTCTTGCTCTTTGGAGGAAGGTGCTCGCTCTTTAAAAAAAAAAATAAAAAAAAATAATAATAATGATATTACTATGCCATGGTCTCATATTGGACCTGAAGCACTGTTAAAGTTATGCTAAACTCTCCTAATATTTCTTTTTGTGTTTTCCTGCCCTTTTTTATTGTACATATTCTTGAATTTGCTCAAAAACAATTATACACAAAAGAACGTGTTGCTGCCTTTGTAGATCAGGTATTTATTCAAATGCTTAAAGTAAACGAAAATTGAGTGGATAATTTAGACTATAATTGCCACACTATTGACTACGCTAATTTTGCAATATGGTTTACAATTGTGGGTTTAATGAATAAACCTCTTACCAACTGTTGCCTGATTGTTTGTTTGTTTGTTTGGAGTGTGCTCGGTCAGCATCTCTAGCCAACAGAACTGGATGGTGAAGTGTTTTTTGCCTAATGATATTCTCCTTGCTACAATTGAAGTGGAGTCTTTTTCTAAAATACACAAAATACATACAATCCAATTGTTTTGCTTGTCATTTGCATACCTTAAGGGATTCTATAGGTATAGGAAAACAAACCCATTTTCCTGGCACTGTAGGCTTCTGGAGTGCTCCACTTTTTTGGGGCCCCCTCCCGCGGCGCTGAAGGGGTTAAAGCCCCCTCAGTCACTTACCTGAATCCAGCGCCGTTCTCTCTCGGCACTGGCTTAGGCTGCTCCCACGCATCGACACCTGGCGGAGGAGACCTAATGAGCATATTCAATGCTTTCCTAGGGGGAAAATCTAACGCTGGAGGTCCAGCATCAGATAACGGACCAAAAATCTGTTTGAATTCCGGAAGCCCTCTACTAGTGGTTAGACAGCCACAGAGGGCAGACTTAGAGCTGCAATGTTTTAAGGGGGCAGTATGGTCACCAGACCAACTACAGCTTATTGAATTTGTTCTGGTGAGTAGAATCATACCCTTCAGACTTTTTGCAGTGTTTACATTGCAGCCTAGTGATAACTTCACTGGCCACTCTTTAGATGACTGCTAGAGCTACTTCCTATCTCAGTCTTGCCTAGTGTGCATCACAACAAATCAGTATCTCCTCCCTCTGCATGCAGACATTGAACTTTCCTCATAGAGATTCATTGGTTCAATTCATCTCTATGAGGAGACGCTGATTGGCCAGGGCTGTGTTTGACTTATGTTGGCTCTGCCCCTTATCTGCCTCCTTCACAGCCTCAGCCAATCCTATGGGGAAGCATTGTGATTGGCTCAGAACAACACTTCTGTTGGCTAGGTGGTGGTTTTAACACTATAAGGTCAGAAATATGTTTGTGTTTCTGTCCCTATAGCGCTTCTTTAACATTGCAGCACTAAGTGCAAAAGGGTTGCAGCACACAGACCACTTCAATGAGATAATGTGGTCTGGGTGCATACATTGTCCGTTTAATAGAAATTTCGTTTATGAGAGAAAAAAAAGGCTTCTTACCCATGTAAATAATTACAATGGAATTTTGAAGAAAAAAATAAAGGTAATAATGATTTCCCTCTTTGATCTCTTGGGTATATATATACTGTTACAGTGCTGATATTTGATCTTCTCATTCTATTGATTTAGCAGCCTGTTTACTTTCCCCATGAATATTGTTGTCCAAAAGTAATATTCTTAATCCTCTGTTTCTGTTGATTGATACATGGGGAAACTTTGCAGTGTCTATAATGTGTAAATATAATTTGTCTCCAAAAGTATTTGCTACAAAATTAACTCCATAGGCAAAAGTAAATAAAATAAAAAACAATAAATGGTGGCTATGTGACTATCTAATGGAAGGAATGTTTTGGTAATTTAATGTAAGTTCTTCTCATCACATGTCTGCAAGATAACTGGCTTTTAGTACATTAATTGTATGCCTTGAAGTATTATTGCCCTTTTCACTGCTCCTGGAAATACACCACACTACCAAGCAGAACATTGCAAGCTGTTTGACATTTTAGCACTGTTATTCAAATGGCACGTTTCATTCTGTGCTTTAAAATATGTGTTTTAAGAGATATTAGGCTTATGCTGCAGGCTTTTAAAATAAGTTTTAATAGTCAACGGTGACATTTTAAGTACCAGATAAATTTGGCATTTGTGGTTTATTTGATGCTGTAAATCCTATCACATTTTGGGTTCTAACTAAGTCAAAACTCTGTGGCAATATACCAACCATTTCTTGTTACTGGTCCTTATAATGTGGTAGTTTTCTGTGATAAACATGCTTTAAGAAGAGGCTGCTGTCACTGTGTACATTCATAACTCTCACATGGTGCCTTTCATTTAGGAAGAGCATGAACACTTGATAAGGCTTTTTCTAGTGCGGAAATGGCCTTGTAAACCAGGAGAATATGTAGTATTAATGACCTTGGCCATGTATCAGAGGCAGTCTAGCTCATCACTGTACTGCACGTGGCTCTATTCTACGTAAGCATGTTATTGAGTTAAAAAGAGCAGAATGTTGTACGTCATTTCAGTATTGCTGTTCCTGTCATTAGATGGAAGTCAGCGCTTCCAGATTTGCTGTATTAAGGAGAAAGGAACAGCTCTTTCAAATTCTTGCATAATCTTTCAGAAAGGAGGGATTAGCACTGGCTTGTTCACAGACTTGCTTGGGAATAATATACTTTGGCATGAGGCCCTTGGTGTATTTAAAGCTGTTTTGTTCCTGTCGCCGGTGAGTGGTCAATTATTGTTTTTATTTTCTTCAAGACAGTGTTGTATAACTATAAGGTGTTGATACTTAAAATTCTGCTTGAACAATCAAGAAAATGAAACGTGTATTTTAGCCATCATGTACTTGTTATACGTATATTAATTTCTTTTTTTATAGATCCCATTTCTCTATTTTCTTCATAATTTCCAATTCTTAATGTTCCTGTCAATTTTCACAGAAGCTAGAAGCAACAGCAGTAAAAAAAAACTGAATCCTTATTTTATTTCCATTTTGCTAGGATCTCCTTCATCTACAATAGGGATTTTATTTAAAAAAAAAAAAATTTAAGCCATCAAATCCACTTTGAAAGCCTTTGGTTTGTTTATTAAGTTTGTACTTATTTTTGTATCTATTTCCCACAAATGTAATTACTTCCACTTGAAGTCGGTAGATGGTCAATACATTGTGGTGTTACTACTTGCAAGAGATTCTGGGTGGGCAGATATCTATTTTCAACATGGATTCCTTGGAGTTTGTTTGCTGTATACAACAGCTTTGAAACACAACTCAGGAAGTGATGCAAAGCCTGTGAACCACTCATGGACAGCTGTTTCGTTGTTAAAGGGAAACTCCAGTGCAAGGAAAACAAACGTATGGCACTGCAGGTCTCCTCTCCCTCCCAATCCCCGGTTTCTGAAAGGGTGAAAACCTCTTCAGTGACTTACCAGAGGCAGCGACATGTCCCACGTCGCTGCTTCTGTCGCTCCTCCTCTGCATTACGTTGGCCGGTGGGCGAGACTGATCCCGCCCGCCGGGGAGACCTAATGCGCATGCACAGCAATGCTGCGCATTAGAGCTCCCCATAGTAAAGCATTGAAAATGCTTGTCAATGCTTTCCTATGGGGAATTGAGCGATGCTGGAGGTCCTCACACAGCTTGAGGACGTCCAGCGACGCTCTAGCACTCTAGGTGGAGTGAACCCTGCAAAAAAACTGCAATAATTACACTTGCAGGGTTAAGGGTTGTGGGAGTTGGCACCCAGACCACTCCAATGGGCAGAAGTGGTCTGGGTGCCTGGAGTGTCCCTTTAAAGGACCACTATAGGCACCCAGACCACTTCAGCTCAATGAAGTGGTCTGGGTGCCAGGTCCATCTAGAGTTAACCCTATGCTTAATTAGGGTTAATCCAGCCTCTAGTGGCTGTCTCACTGACAGCCGCTAGAGGTGCTTCCGCACTTCTCACTGTGAATTTCACAGTGAGAAGACGCCAGCGTCCATAGGAAAGCATTGAGAAATGCTTTCCTATGGACTGATTGAATGCGCGCGCGGCTCTTACCGAGCATGCATATTCAAGGGAAGACGTGGGAGGAGAAAGGTAAGTGTTTAACCAATTCCTCGCCCTTCAGCCCGTCGGGAGGGGGACCCAGAGGGTGGGGGGGACCCAAAGACCGTATAGTGCCAGGAAAATGAGTTTTTCCAGGCACTTTAGTGGTCCTTTAATGCAACTCATCAGCATGAGGTTGGTTACTGGCTTTCTATTAATGCTTGGAGTTACTTGTGGAGCACAAACCAAAAACGTTATTGGGGGGGGGGAGGCTTAGTGATTGAAAGTGGTTTCAAAGCTGTTGTATAATTCAGCAAACCTGAATTCCAAGGAATCCATGTTAAAAATATATAGGCCTGGGTGTCTAAGGGTTCTGCGCAGTATCTTGGCTGTTTCTAGAACTGCACTCTTCTGGACAGCGACTTCCGCGATGTCCCACCTGGATTCTGTTGAAGCCCATCCCCCAAGTTATAGCCCTAAGTGCTCCTTTCACAACTCGGACTACTACTGCCTTCACTTTCCACATCCTTTTAAGCTATTCTTTTGTCTATGGTATTTGTCTATCTTCTCATGTTCATTCTTCCTGATGTTATAGTCCCTTGGTATTGCTGGATCCACCACCACTGCAGTCTTCCATTCCTTGTCTACCACCACGATGTCAGGTTGGTTGGCCAGTACTTGCTTGTCTGTTTGGATCTAGAAGTCCCATGGGATCTTGGTTTTTAGGAGCTTTGATTTTTTTTTTTTTTTTCAAACCAATCTCTTTCTTTACACCTTCTGAAGGAGGTCAAGTCACCTCTCACATGTCCATTAAAAAGCTATTTTACAATTACTGTCACACACTCATAGCTGCCCCACCAGATCAGCATTCTCAAGGTATTGCTTTTAAAAACATAAATACTGTGATGTGCTGATCTCCATTCTGCAGCTCTGCCTTCCTGGCTGAGATCATCAAGATTAATCAATCCAATGGTAATGAGGAACATTGGAAGGCTATTTGCAATACGCTATGCTGCACCAATAAAATGTTCTCTTGGATAGTAATTTGGACTCTAACCGAGTTTAACTCGATTATTGCTGCAGAAGGACCTTGTGTGACTGTCTTTTTATTTATTTATTTTTTCCTCTTTTCTTATTTTTTGCTGGGTCTTTTAAGTGTTGTTGTGAATTTGGCATTACCTTTTTGAAACGTTAGATTTGTTGAGTAAGTTATAGAAGCACATTTTCATTGTTTCACTTCCATACTGTCAAATAGTATTTTCTACAGTTTTATTTTGTATGCACTTACTCTGAGAAAACAATAACTTGTCCAGCAATAGTGTAAAATGGGTATTTCTTTTTATTATTTGACAGTGAAGTCTATTTTGAGCACGTAGGGGATTTTTATGTTTTGTTATTGCTTTTGACTATTTTTTATTTAGCAGTAGATTGAGTGTAGTAGTTTAATTTCTAGTCAGTGTACTTTGTATATACATACAGATGTACGTATTATAATGTTTTTGTTTTTTTTCTGTTTTCGAAACCGATTAAATTTTTTATTAAAGCAAATCCGTATGCATGACAATGCAAATCAGATTGAAGAAAGGTCTCTTGATATAGTTGACATTAACTGGATTTGCCTAAACCTTCCCTGTTAATCTACATATGCATCTATTTCATATCAAACAAGATGTTGCCTATGTCATTTGTTAAAGGGACATTCCAAACACATTAACTGCTAGAGCCCATCCTACAGTAGTGAAACAATTTAAGAACAGTATGACAACTTGCCTGCAGGGAGCCATTTGGTGCTGGGTGATGCTCTATGACTGAAAGCTCTCAGTTGACGCCTTCAACCTAAGAGCTGGCCGTTCATCATAAGTTGGCAAACCTTTTTGAAACTATTTGACTGTTTATTGTGCTTTTACTTTGAGTGCCCCTTTAATGGCTGAACATAAGTGGGAAACTTAATCAGAAAGTTGTGCCTTAGACATAGTAATCATTTCTTTGTCTTGATGTGTCTAATAGTGTTAGTTATGGGTCTTGGAGCAAATTAGACCAGTGCTCTTAGCATACCACAGCCATCCAAGCTGAGTGGAATTACATTTGATAACCCAAAGCATAGTTTCCATTATCAGTGCACTACAGAGAATACAGACTATGAAGCTTAGGTGTTTGACAATTTATTCTAAAACCAATGATGCCCATTGAATTGTTAAACCTTAAAGTAAGACTCAAGCATTATAAATACGGACAGCTAATGGGAAGTGTATTTGGCCAACTAGTGAGTTTCCATAGCAACCATAGCACATGCTCTGTGGTTGCTATGCTTAGAAAAGCAGAAGGACCACCCATGGAACGTCTTTTCTGACCTTCCTTGTCAAGCAATTCCTGGTAGACAATGACTTGTCATGCCAAGACTGGGAGATAAACTTATTTTAACTAGGGTTTACTCCTAATTTATATATTTACTAGCAAAATTGTTACCACAATGTATAGATAGAATTGTATGCTCAATCTAATGAGCAGAAGTTATATGGGCCTTTAAATTTGCAATTCACTTTGAATTCCTGAAAATTCTCACTTGAGTAAATACCCTGTGATATATCAGGCACAGGTAAATACACAATCTCAGTTACAGTCCTGCTTGGCAGTAATACAAGAAATAGTTTGGGGAAGACTCTTTGCTATTTTTAATAAGTAATAGAGTGAACTCTCATCAGCAACTCCAGATAGATACTTCCTTGTCCCCCTTGTACTTCCACACTGTGTACCGACTTGATTATATTAATTTGTATTTATAGTATTTAAAATTGTTCCAGTACAGAATATATAAGTAGAAAATTGTCTAATATTTTCATTCTTTGTTTTAAGGATGTGTCAAAATGAAACGTCACAGGCATCTCAGCAGCAGCGACAGCTCAGACAATGAGAGTGAGTACATTCTGTTATTCCTTTATGGATCAGACTTTAGACTTGATTAAAAGTAAGATTTTGCAATATTTAAGGGGGGCAGTGGGGTTAGATGGTGGTTATAACACTATAGGGTCAGGAATACATGTTTGTGTTGTTCCTAACCCTATTGAGTTCATTTAAATGCAAAACCTGCAAAGCGACAGAGCTGCATTAACTATTGCCTCTATGAATTGATCTTACTTGAACTTTCCCTCCAGGTTAACCCTTTTTCTTTAAGCATAATTTCTGCTTTTTTGGGGGAGAGTTGGGGGGGGAATTACAATGACCATATTTTTGCTCATGGTATATATATTACAAAATGTAATGAGAAACTAAGCATACCTTTGGTGACTACTCCCATGGGTGTCCAGTGGCCGAGGGGCACAGAGAAGGGAAGTTAAACTTTCCTGTACCGGTCCTTGGTGGCTGCCCCTAATTGAGTCCTCTTTAACTTATAGTGTTTTAGCTGACTGGAGCTTAAGACAGTGTTGTACTCTTGCACATATGCAAGAGTACAACACTGAGGTTTATGGGATTCATCAATTCAATGGTTGTGTCCATAGAACAACGCCTTTTTCCTTTTATCCGTCACTGTTGATGGCAAGGGGAAATAGCAAAACTTGACAAAGGTAGCTGAACCTTTCGTCAAGTTTTGTTGAGTGTAGGATAAATACTAAGACAAAGTAGTCCTTAATTTGTTTTAG